CCTCCTCAGAGGGGCTTCCCTGGGCACCATATCCAAAACACCCTTTACTATCCCATTCTTTAATATCAATGCTACTTTCTTCATAATGCTGATCACCATCTGGAATTACCATGTGATAGCGTTTTTGTTCCCATAGTTTCTTCTCTACCTCCCCCAGTAGAACATAAGCCTCACAAGGACAGAAACGTCATCCTGGCCACCACTTGGATCATAGTAGTTACACAGTCCTTTCATGGTTCTTAATTAAAATCAACAGCAGCCATTTCTGGCCGATTTAAGCAATGAAGGACTTGAACAGATCAGCATTTGTTAGTGAATAAAACCAGAGATCTGCAACCTCCCCCTTCTCGGCTCTCCAGCCACCCCAGGAGCTCTCGCTAAGGCCCCGTGGCCCTTTCTGGGAGCACTCACCCCTAGCCTGCTGGACTGGGGCCTGTGTAGCCTCCAAAAGTCTGCTCAGCTTTGCCTCCCAGAAGCCTTGGGGTCTCTGGCCCTGCAACCTGTCACTTCCTGTGCATGTCACACAGCACAGGTGTTGCAATCAGCCCTATGTGCCTGTCTCCTGCGCACCCAGCAGTAGGAGCTCTGAGGGGTGGGCCTCTACCTGAGTCTCCTAAATCACTGTCATTCCTACTGTTTGTTACCTGCTCCCTCAGCGCCAGGTGCTGTGTTAAGCATTTTACCTATATTTCTCCTTCCTTCGCTCATTAGTTCAGCCAGTGCTTATTGAGCCACTGCTGTGTATCAGGCACTGGGGTGACAGGGGTGAACAGAGCTGGCAAAAATCCCTGCACCCCAGGAGCTCACGTTCTGATGGAGGAGATAAAGACTAAATAATTAAAGCTGTGTCTATACATCAGGTCACAAAGCCGAAGCGCTCTGAAGGAAGGTGAAGCAAGGAAAGGGGATGGGAAGTTGGGGTTGGGCAGTCATGGGGGGCTCACTGAAAGGTGAGATTTGAGCAAAGACCTGAAGGCAGAGAGGGAGGGAGTCGTGGGGGTACCTGGGGGCAGCGTCCCAGGTAGAGGAACAGCCAGTGCACAGGTAGAGGGGAACTGGATAGGTTTGAGACCAGTGAGGCTGGAGCAGAGTGCGCAGGGGCCAGGAGGGGGAGATGAGGGTGGGGAGGGGACGGGGCAGGGTGTGTGTGGAGGGCCCCAGGGAGGACTCTGGCTTTTACTCTGAGACAGAGCCCTAGGAGCACTCAAGAAGGGCAGGGACACGATCTGACACAGCCGCCCACAGATCCCTTTGGCTGCGGTGGGAACAGACTGTGGGAGGTGGGGATGGGAGCAGAGGGGAGACCAGGCAGGAGGCAAGAGACAAGGTGGACAGGGCCAGGGTGGGAGGTAGCTTTGGAGACAGGAGAGGGGCACAAACTCTAGTTAGATTTTAAGGACAAAGCCAACAGAATTTACTAGCTGAATGAATGCAGGACATAAGAAAAACAAGAGTCAAGGACAACACAAAGGCTTTCAACCCTATTTAATGCCAAGGCAACCCCACGAAATACCATCATTCTTTTGTAACAGATGATGAAACAGAGGTTCAGAGAGGGCTGGTGATTCCACATCCCACAGGAAGTGGCAGAGCTGAGATTCGAACCCAGCTTTTGCCCATGCCAGGCCTTGGCTCCCTGTGGACCCCACCACCCAGGCATGTTCACAGCCCCCTCCATCCCAGGACAGAACATGCCAGGCCCCACGGGCACCAGCTGAGTATTTGGCCGCAGCATGCAATGATGACTCTCACAGGCTTGGTGCCCTTCCACGGCATTCCCTCGGTGCATGTCAGCTGTGTGGGGTAACTTTCCCTGCCTGCTTGCTAGCTCCCATGGGCCCAACTGGGGCTGATTCATCACAGTCCTGGCGTTGCTTGCCTGGAGCCTGGCATGTGATGGCCTTCAATAAGGCAACAAATATTTATTAAGCATCTATCTTGTTCCCATCTGCTCTGGGCCACACTCTGGGACTGCCCTCTTGGGGTTGACAGTCCAGTGGCAGACACAGATCCACCCCCCAAAGGTGACGACCCAGAACGGGGTTCTGGGAGGGGTTGGTGGAGGTGACTGACCCATGAATGAACCAGATGACCTTGGTCTCCATCCTCACGGACCTCCAGCTGAGAGAGTAGACTGACAGTGAACAAAGTAGCAGGTACATGAGAATTGCAAAATGCTGGGAGCTGGAGATGAAATGAAACAAGGACGGGCCAGAGAATGAGTGCAGCTCTTCCCACTGGGGGAGTCAGGGAAGGCTGGGACCTCAGGCTGGGAAGGTACCAGCCCAGGATGAGCTGAGGACAGGTCACTCCAGGGACAAAGAGCCGATGCACAGAGAGAAAGCTTGGTATGTTCCAGAAGCTCCAAGAAGCTGGTGGGAAACAGGTGGGAGTAAGATACGAGGAGGCCGAGCATGTGCAGGTGCTGCACATAGAGGGACAGACAAGAGGTCAGCCTGCAGAGCTGGGAGCCCACAGGCTGTCCCTGGACACCCTCCACCCTAGGACTCCTGGAGTCAGGTCACGCCTATCACCAACTCACAGCCCTCCTGTGGCTCCGTGTCGCTCAGGGCAAAGGCAAAGTCCTCTCCACAGCCCACAAAGCCCCATGCGATCTGCCTGCCACCTCCCTGCCCTTGTGTCCCTCTCCCTCTCTCTCTGCCAGCCACACCAGCCTCCTTACTGATGCTCTGCCAGGGCAACCAAAGTTCCTGCCTCAGGGTCTTTGCACTGGCTGCTCCTCTGCCTGGAACACTATGCCTGTGCGGCTCCTCCCCCAGACGCCTTCAGATCCAATGTCACCCTCTCAGTGTGGTCTCACTGACCATCCTCATAAAACCCGCAGCTGCCTTCCCCTCTCCATCCGCCTCCCACTTCTCCGGAGCACTTACCACTATTTACCTGCCATATCTTTCACTTATGTATTGTGATTGCCGTCTGACACCTTGGTTAGAATGTCAGCTCCATGAGGGCAGAGATCTCTGAAGCTCACGGCTGTCTCCCTGACACTGAGAACGGGGCCTGCACATGGTCAGTGCCCAATAAATAACAGCTGACTAAGTAAAAGGATGAAGGAAACAGAGGAAAGGAAGGAAAAAAGGGGACGAAAACAGCGTGAGCCACCAGAGCTAGGAGGCGGGCGTGTTAACATTTCTCTCCTTCCAGGATAAGGAACGCGCTGGGAAACCGAGTCACAAAGGGACCCTGGTGAGCACTCCTTGGACAATTGGAGCACAGAGTTCTGGCCTCGGAGGAGAAAGTCACCAAAGCCACCTGCTGGAGAGTGGTGTCATCACAGCTGTGTCCACCCTGCGGACTTGAGGCTGTGATGCCCCTTGCCCCCTGGCAGGCAGGAGAAGAGGTGGCCTGGAGGCCTCCCTAGCAGAAGTGTCAAGTCCACGGAGCCACAGCTCTAAGCCTCTTTATTCCACCTGGTCAGTGCTATGCAGGCAGGCAAGGCGGAGCCACACAAGACCTGCCCTGCTGCACTCTGCTGGCATCTTCCGTCACAGCCAGCCCGACCCACCTCTCTAGGAGGGGAGGCTGCCCCAGCTCTCTCAGGGTTGCATCCACCCCACATGGGGTCTCAGAAGAGCAGGGAAGTTGGGGCCTGCCCTGATTCCCCACCCTGGCCGCGGCAGTATCTTGTCACACCAGCCAAGGCAGCGAGGCCCAGGGTTCCTGATGAGAGTTGTCTGCATCCCTAGAGGTACAGCCTCCGGCCCAGCAGGGGTCTCACCACCCACACATCATCCACAATCTTCCCATCCTGCAAGAGGCAAAAACAGAGGAGGTAGTGAGTCCAGACTTGGGCTGGGTGGCCTGGGTTCAGATTCCAGCTCTGCCTCTGATAGGCTGTATGACCTTGGGCAAGTTGCTAGACCTCTCTGGACGTCAGTTTTCCTCATTTGAAAAATGGGATGATAATAATAGTACCTACATCATAGATGTTGTAGGAATTAAATGAGATATTTGAAAAGGGCTTAAAAGGGAAACTGGCACATGGCAAGAGCTATGTAAGTGTAGGCTATTATTATTAGAGCACCAACTTTGGAGTCAGACAAACCTCACTTTACACCTCAGTGCAGCCACTCTCTATCTGGATCTGGCTGTAAGCACATGACCAGACTCTGAGCCTAACTTCCATTCTATAAACTTGGGAGAACCGATAAAAATAATACACACAAAAACCTGTTCCTGGTGTATTTGCTGCTCAATAAATGGTCATTGTTTTTAATAAAAAGACCATGGTCTTTGGAGTCAAGATTCCAGTTTGGCCGCCTTCTAGCTGTGTGACCCTGGGAAAATTACCTTCCCTCTCTGAGCCTCTGTTTCCTCCTCTGTAAAATGGAAAAGAAAATCTGTCCCAGGGATTACTGTGGTGATTAATCTGCTAGTAGATACAAAACCTTTAGCCCGGCATCTGGTACAAAACCAGTGCTCAATAAATCAGTTACTATCATTTTAAAAGCACAGTGGCAAAAAGAAAGGTGAGCCATGATATGGGCCCACCTAACCTTCAGCCACCTCTACCACACACACCAAATTGGTTTCTCCTTAACTGCCTCCCACCACCCACTTTTTTCTTCCCCTGGTTCATGTTGATACAGAATCCACTATACTTTAGAAACTGTTCTAAACACTTTATATATAAGTGTTTATAAACTTATAATCCTGGGTGGTGGAAACTATTACCATCCCCATTTCACAGATGGGAAAACTATGGCTCAAAGAGGTGAAGTATGTTGCTTGAGGTCATCTACTTGCTAAGGAGCAGAGGCAGGATTTCTGGCTCTAGAATCCGTATTTTTAATCTGGCCACTCAGGCAGGTGACTGTGCCACCCCTTACCTGGTCATCAGACACCTGCTGGATGTGGACATGGGTCCCATTGAGGATGTGCATCCGAGTGTACCCGTATTCTTTCACGCGCATGGCACTCCAGGGCCGCCGGAAGAGGGAAAAGGGGGTCAGCAGTTCCTCACAGCCCTGCCAGAGGGAATCGAGAATCATTTTAGACTCAGGGCTGGGCGGGTAGAGGACTGGCAGGGTAGCAGAAACAACCTGCCAGGCCAGGATCCTGTCACTCCCAAGGAAGACAGTCGGTTAAGCCTTGTCCTCAATAATGCTCACAATTGAGAGTTTTGACCCAGCCATGCTTCCTACACCCTGGGTCTTTGACTTCTAGAAAAAGTGCATGGGCTGTACAAGATTGTCCACTGCAGCATTTTCTGTAAAAGCCCTGAGCTGGAGGCCACCCAAATGCCCATCAGTGGGGGTCAATTAAATAAATAACGCTGTAGCCATCACAAAGCAGGGCCAAGATATTGTTAAAGGGAAACACAATTCTCAGAATAGACCAGATCGGTGGGTCTCAACCCTGGCTGTGCGGGAGACCCTCCAAGAAAAAAATTTAATACCAGCAACACCTGGGGGAGAGGGGGCGCTCATTCTTGCAGTAGAACACCAGGTGAGATGAGCAGAAAGGAAGAGGGAGCTTGAAAAATCCCCATTTTGCAGCCATCATTGTAAAAACTGATGGAAGCAAGAATAATCAATGGATGCTAAACTAGTTATGAACCTTTGAGCCATAGCAGGATATTTGCATAGTTTCAAAGTATTACTCCAGGAGACATTTGTTAATTATAAAGGGGAAAATAGTAACAGCAGAGAGGAGGCTGGGCAGACACTACTTGATGCAAGTGATCGGCGAACATCATCAGTAATGAGACAGATCCATCCCACATTTATGCCATGGGAAACTGAGGCTTAAAGGTGTTAGACAGATACCATGTGCCTCCTGGCGGGATGCACTGAGAACACGGTGTGACTTTTGTGTGTTCTTCCCGAATATGCATAACTTCCATCTCATTACCAGTAAACATCAGATAAACCCAAATGGTGAGAGAGTTTACGAAACAATTTCACTGTACTCTTCACATTTTTCAAGGTCGTGAAAAAGGAAGATAGAGCAGGGAAAGGTTTCCAATTAAAGGAAGCTAAAGACAAAACAAGACACCAAAATAGAATGTGTGATCCTAAACTAGATCCTGGACCAGAAAAAAACCACAAGGCTTTGCTTTGATTGAAAGGACATGAACAGGACAATTGGCTAAATCTGAATACGGTCTGTAGATTAGGTAATGTATATTATCAATGTTAATTCCTTGAATTTGATTATTATACTGTAATAATGTAAGAGAATGCCCTTTTATTTTTTTTAGGAAATACAGACAGAGGGGGTAAAGGGCATCACTTCTGCAACTTTCTCCACTGGACCTGAAAATAATGATAAAATATTTAGAGAAATGGATAGAGAAAGAAACAGAGGGATTAAACAAGTGCAGTTAAATGTTCACATTTGGGAAATGTCAGTAAAGGAGATATGTAAAGTCTTTGTATTTTTTCAGCTTTCCTGAATAATTTCAAAATTTAAAATTAAGGATAAAAGCTAATTTATGTTGATAGGTCAGAATAACAATCACCTATAAGCATGAGGAGCCATCTGGTGCTGAAAACATTCTATTTCCTGCTCCGGGTGGTGGCTACCCAGTGGCATGCAATTCCAAGGCCCGCCCTCAGAGTGTCAGGTGTTTATTCTGGGATATGGCCCAGGCATTTGGGTTTTAAAACCTCCCCATGTAATTCTAATGAGAACCAAGGTTGAGAACAACCCCTTGGGTATGAAGCATGATCCAAGCTGCTTTTTAAAAGTGGGAGAAATGTAACATATCTCTACCGTGACAATTACTCATTTGCAGATATAGGGAATGTTCTAAAGCACCACCCAAGAGACAACAGAGTGGGACTAAGAAGGGGTGTGGATGGCTGGTGGTCATGCCTGCCCTCTGTACTGTTTGAATTTTTATCACAAGTGGTTATTACTGACTTGATCTTCGTTCGCTCTTACTAATTTGTAAGAACCAGATTAAAAAATAAGCCCTCTTGGGGAAGTGACTGATGCCAAGGTGGGGGCAGGGAAAAAAACAGATGATACTATAGTACCCCGTAGGGCCAAAAGGTAGTGAAGTGCTCACAAAATGACAGGAGCACGTGGAAAGGACACGAGGCCGCCTGAAGAGCTCCCAATGGCCAAAGCTGGAGCAATTTGAGCAGCAACATAAAAACAATGGTATTGGATTATAGCCCACAGAACAAACTAATTACCCATGAGTCCATACTGATATAAATCAATAACTAACTAGCTACATAAATGGGACAGAAGGGACAGCTCTTTCTCACAGGAGGATTTTAATTAATGAGTCTAGGAGGACGGAGGGAGCTAGGAGATCCTCATTAGAACACCACAGTAATTGTAGCAGGCGAGACCCACTGATGGATTCAAAAATTAGTGGGGGCAAGTTTGAGGACAGACAGGACATTTTTATGGCTTAAACGTATCTCCTCAAAGATATTTATTAATTAAAAGGAAATATAATGACTTTCTGGTGGAGGAATCAGCAGACACTTCTTAACCAGGCAATTCAGAGAAGCATGTCCAGTAGTGGGACACACAGATGACATGTACCCCCAAGTGTGACACACCGAGAGGCCACAATGTTGCTTCTGTGACAGTCTTGCCCAATATGAATAACCCGAATCTCAGCCTAAGAAAATATCACACAATCCCAAATCAAGGGGCACTTTACAAAGCAGCTGGCCAGGAGTCTTCAGAAATGCAAAGGATAAAAGATAAGGAAAGGCTGAGGAACTGTCCCAGGTTGGAGGAGACGGAAGAGCCACAATTACTACAGGGTGGGATCCTGGAACAGAAAGAGGTCGTTGATGAGAGGGCTGGTGGAATGTGAATAAAGCCTAAAGTTTTGCTATAATGATAATAATAAGCCCTCTGCCCCTGGTTCCATCAAGTAGACCTGGGCAAGCCTGTGACCCCTGCCACTTATTGCACTTTGAACAAATATTTTACCACCTGAGCCTCTATTTTCACAACTGTACAATGGGCATGCTACTAGGAGTACCTAAGCTCTAGCAATGAGAGTAGTATAAAGCTTGTGGCACCCAGGCTGGTACAAGTTTGGCACTCAACAAATAGCAAAGGAAAGAAGCCCAGGGCACCCTTCCCCTCCCTGCTCACAGCAGATCCTGTGATGATGTGGACAGGGCCTCGAGGGTTGGTGTAGGGCATCTCTTGGCTGCCATTTAGTACCTCGAGAAAGGAAACAAGGAGGAAGGCCGTGTTACACCAGGCCACGCCTGGGGGTGTGACCAGGGGTCCACTGACACCAGCCTCATGGGCCCTCGGCTCTCCCTGAACCTCACCTGGTAGTTGTAAATTGGCCACAGCCGTTCATATGAGTGTTCATGAGCCCACAGCTGCAGGTCAACCCCTAGGGTAGAACAAGTAGGGGTCAGACCCCCGCATGTGCGAGAGATGGGAGGGGCGTTTCCTGGGGTTGCCACGGAACACTCGCGATCTCACACACCCCGCACCCTCGGTCACTCACCATATTTGTAGAATAGATCCTCCAACCCAAATAACTTGCCGAGTAGGCCTTTGCGAACCTGGGCAGGATGAGCGGGGAGGTGAGCAGTGACTCAGGCTGGCCCCCCGCCCGGCTTTCAGCATCCCACCCCCTGGAAGAGAGGCCTCACCTTGCTTTCATGCCATGTACAGTCATCCAAATCAGCATTGGAACAGTACATGGGCCGATGACCCATGGTAATGATCCATGGCCGGACAGCCCGGTTCTTATTAGCTTTCTAGAGAAAGGGGCCCAGAGCGAGGGGCATAAGTCGGGGGAGAGAATGGGAGTCAGGTCCAGGATAAAGGAGACCTCCACCCACATTACCTGGAGGTCGCTCTCCAGCCAGTGAAATTGTCTCTCTACCAGGTGGCGGCCGTAATGGAGAAAGAAATATACCTCAGTGGAGAAGGAGACAATGTGTGCCGGGCCCAGATCCCAGCTAGACAGGTCAAAGGGCAGGGGTCAGAGAAGGGGGGTTTCCTCTGCACCTCCCATCCTTTAAGAGAGGGAGCCCCCAGATTACCTGTACCACAGGCCTTCGGTGTTCCCTGGCATGCTGAAGCGAGCCTTGTAGTTAGAGAAGTTGCTGGATAAAAGGAAGTAAAAGGGTAGGGGGAGGGTCGGGGCATCCCCATCCACCCCCATGTCCCCACTGTCAGGCCAAGTCTGGCTCCCAGCCCATGTCTCATCTCCTCTCCGCTCACTGCTACAAATGAGCCGTTGCAGTAAAAGAAATTAAAGTGAGACACTAAGGAGGACATGTCTGTTTTCACTGGCCAGGCCCTTGCCCTCCCCAAAGCCCTGGGCCCTCACTAGCGTTCTTCATGATTCCCAGGGCATGTCATGTATGGCAGGCTGGCAGCCACAGGTTCGATGAGTCGCATGAACCTGTCCCCGACGCGAGCGTTGTCCTGATCCATGTTGTAGGCAAAGTCTCCTGCGGGACAGAGGGTGGGGAGGGGAGAGTGGGGACACTGACCCAGCTCTGCTTTTGCCAGAATTGAGAGCCCCAGTTGCTCAGGTGTGGGCTGTACAACCCCTGGCCTCAGAGCTGCCCTGGTTATCTGATCCCTACCTCACACCGACACACATGTGCACTTGGAACCATTTCCTGCACCTCTCCTCCCTGAGACTCCTGCAGGGCCATGTGGACTCTGACCACTAGCCCCCATCTCTGCCTGCTATCTTGTCCCCTCCCAGAGTGACAGTAACATTAAGACTGACATAGTCTGGTACTGCTCTAAACACTTTACATGCTTGATCACCTGGATCTTCCAAACACACTCTGATGTGGGTGTTATTATTCCCTCAGAGAGGGAAACTGAGACCCAGAGGGATTAAGTGCTTGCCCAAGGTCACTGAGCTGGTCAGTGAAGATCCAGGAATCAAACCCCAGGTGTCTGATTCCAGACTCTGTGGCTTTGAACTCCCTAGCTTTCAGCACCAGTCTCTATCTCGCACCTGGTTCCCTGTCCTCTTAAGTCACAACAACAGTGATAACAACATCTAACTTACGACATGATGGGCCGTGTCAACTTACTGAGTCATCACTAGAGTCGTATGAATTCTGACTCGTCTTAGCTCTGTTAGAGAAAACCAGTGCACGTAGCTCCAAGTGCTGGAGTTGGGATTTTCACCTGGGCAGTCTGGTTAACCACAGACACCATCTCCGAGGCCAATCTCCCCGCGTCGCTTCAGAACCACGTGAGCCCCAGCCCCGTTCCCTCAACAAACCGGGCGTGGCCTCCCCTCAGCCCCGCCCCCATGCCTCCAGGCACACCCTGGCAGGTGCCTCACCCACGTGGAGAACAGCGTCGTACATGCCCTGCTGGGTGTCCCTGCGCAGCCGCGGTAGGGCCTTGGGGTTATCAGCCCCCAGGTCCCCAAACACAGCCAGACGGGGGCTCCAGTTGGGCCCATTCTCCAGGGCCCTGAAGCGGAAACGACGGCTCCAACCCTGAGAACTTCCACAGCGGTAAACTGAGGGGAGAAGAAAAGGGTACAGTCAGCCGGGAACCCCAGGACATCTCCACCCTATCTGTCTTCAGACTAGTGGGGCCCGGAGGCGGGGGATTGAATGGGTCTGACCCAGGCAACTTCTGTCTGCCTTGCCCCAGCTCCAAAGCCTTCCCTTTTCATCCCAGGGTCTCATACAACAGGCTTGCAGGTAAGCAGAACAATTAGCAGCCCAGGCTGAGCCACCTCCCAGTGGTAGCTTCTAGTCCGCATCCCACTGCTCTTCCTGTTCCCCCCTCAACTCTCCCGCCTGGGACCCGCTCACCATACTGAACTCCCGGCAGCAGCCCTCGCAGCGTGACTCGGTGCATATAGAGCTTCCGCCGGAGAATGCCGCCGTCTACAAAGGTGCTGACGGTGCCCTGGGCCCGGAGGAGCAGGGGTCCTGCTGCCTGCGTTCCAAACTGCACTTCAGAGTGGGTTGGGACCCATGTGGTCCAGGTTACAGTCATGGAGCCTGGCTCACCTATGGAAAAAGGGGCAGAGGGGGCCGTGCAGAGAGTGCCAGGGCCAACAGCGAACACCTGCTGAACACTTGGTAGTTCAGGCCCTAGTTTCGGAGCTTACCAAATTCAATCCCAGCTCTTCCATTTCCAAGCTACACTTACCTTGGGCTAGTCACTTCACCTCTCTGAGCCTCAGTTTCCTTATCTGTAAAATGTACTAATAATAGTATCTACTCTATAGGGTTGTCTGATGAATAAGTAAAGCACTTGAAACAGTGCCTCATGCAGTTAGGGTTAAGAGGGTGAATCGGTATTATTAGGATTAACAGCATTACTTACTGTGTGCAGGCCTTGCACCAAATATTTTACACACCTGATATCATTTAGGGGTTATAAATGCAGATGTCTGGAGGCCAGCTAAGCAATATAAATGCGGACAAGGGACAGCTGTGAGGAGTAATGGATCAGGGAGTTGTGCAGTGCGTGGCAAACTATAGACTCCACCCTGTCTAAAAAGGGCAGCCATCACCCAGCTCTGGTATAGCTTCCATGCAGGAAGCAGGCTAAGTGCCACCAAATCTGTCAACTACTAAGTAAATCTTCATATGGTGGTTTTATATCCCAGGAGCATAGACAGATGGATATACAAATCCACACTTTTAAGTGATAGGTCCAAATTCTTAGATGTTAGCACCTACATCAAGATGTTTAAATTGCCATGTGGCATAGTATAATGTTAAGAACATGAGTTCTTCCTCCAGCAACATGAAAATCATGTGCACGAGGGCATTCACTGTTGCACTGTTATGACTGCAACATATCAGAAAAATATCAGAAACAACTGAAATGCCCATACATAAGAGAGTGACTGAATAATAATCTATACAATATCCAGGCAATGGAGCAGCATGCAGCTGTCAGAAAGAAAAAGGACATGTTCTAGGAACTGGTATGGAATGATGTCTAGGACATGAAGTTAAATAAAAGTCTTGTATGCATAGTCAGCTACTCTTCATGTAAAAGAATATAAGAAGATACACGGGTATCTGCTCATTTGTACAAAAGAAATACAGGGAGGATACACCATACCCTAACAATATGGATTACTTACATGGGATGGATGGGGAAGGGGTAGACAAAAGGGGGACTGGGAATGGAGTAGTTGAGATGGAGAGGGAGGGAACTTCTCTAAGACCATCGTTTTTATGTAATTCTGACTCCTAGAACTATAATCATGGTTCATATTTCCTTTACATGCCCCCCCTGAAAAACCTAACACCATTACCCAGGATGCAGGGAGAAGGCAATATGGAATATAAATACTAACAAATAGATGTAACTATTTTTTAAAAAGGAATAAAGTACAACACTGAGGGGGTGGGACGGAAAAGTAACCATGGGAAATAGGTTGTGACTGGGCCCTGTCAGACTACCAAAAAAAGGACTGTACAGCAGTGCTATCATCTGGTGAGGGATGCAGACAAACAGTCCTGAAACCACTTTATGCTTATACTGGCACTAAAAAGAAAAGTAGTATATTGTAGATAGTGGGAGCTAGTTTTCTCAATGTTAGAAAGCAGTTACAAATAAGAAGGTGGCTAAAGTAAACCTTGACGTTGGACTGAAATCAGAGGTATCAGTGTGATCTCCGGGCACTTAATACAGATGCAGACATCTACGTGTGTTCATATGCATAGCAACATACACACATGTATTGCCTAGCTCTGTTTGTGAGGAGGCCTAGAAGCAATGATGCCACAGTGGCAGTGAGCACACTTAGTGCCCAGATCATAGTTTCTAAATCCCCAGTCTGCAATGTGAGGAACCAGGGCTCAGACATGAGGCAGGAAATATACCGGATGAGCCTGGAATAATCTGTGGTACCAGAAAGTGAGGAAATGCTCAAAAAATGATGGGGGTTTGCTGAAAGGCACAGAAGCCGATTGGAAGGAATTCCAAAAGACTGTATCCAGGACAATGTGAGCCACAAAATAAATAACAATAGTAGTGGATTTTAACCCATGGAATAAAACAAATGTCTGTAAGTCCATACTGATATAATTAAATAATTGAATAAATAAATAAATAGTGATGGGAATGGAGAGGGTGATAGTCTTTCCTTACAGTAAAATGTCAATGAGACAGAGAGAGGGAATTAGAAAATTACAAAATCACAATTATGCAAACACCACACTAATAATCATTACAGACAAGATCCACAAGTGGATGCTAAAATTAGTGGACAGAAGTTCCAGGAGAAACATGATTTGCATAATCTCAAGGAATCTTCCCCAAGTTATTTGTGAACTACAAGGAAAAGAATAAAAACTTAACAGTGGAGAAATACAACAGGCACCACTCTAAGCAAACAGTGAAAGTTAGCATCACTTAGAAGCCAGGTCAGCATCATGAGCTCTCTGATGCCATGCACCGAGCAGCACACACACCACATCTATGAGAGCCCTGCCAGAGAAACACACAACTCAGTTCCAATCATGAGCAAACAGCAGATAAACCCCAAATGAGGGATCACTACACAGTAACTACTCAGAACTTAAAAATGTCAAGATCACGGAAGAAGGGGAAAGACAGAAACAGGCAGGTTTGGGGAGACAGAAGAGACATAGCAACTAAACACTAAGCAACTGAGAGGAAAAGCTGGTGAACTTTGTACGGGGTCTGCAGTTGATAGTGTTATACAATGTTAATTTCCTAGTTTTAATAATTGTACCATGGTTATGTATGATGTTAACGTTAGGAGCAACTGGGTGAGGAGTTTATAAAAGCTGTAGTGTTTATGCAGATTTTCTGCTAAATCTAAAATTTGTATTAAATTTAAAGTTTTGAAACAAATATTGTAGACTCTTGAGGCAGCCTGCCTGGGGGTTCAGATTCCAGAGTGTGCGACCTGGGATCAGACTCTTCATCACTATGAGCCTCAGTTTACTCTTTTGTAAAGTGGGAGCAACAGTATACCTACAGCCTAAGGTCCAATATATGATTAAGGAAGTTATCCATCTGAAGTGCTGAGTCAGAGTATATTTGTGATCGCTGTTATGTAGTTGCTAAAGGAAGGACAGCTGTGATCTCACTGGATTTTCACAGCAGCACCACGAAAGGGATTGTATTGTTACTAAGTTTTATAGAGGCTTCCAGGCGAAGTGCTTTGTCCAAGGTCACTTGGCCTAACAGCAAAATGCCAAAGCCAGTTCGTTTGTGAGGCTTCAAAATCCACGTTGCAACTAACCTTTAAGAAACTGTCTTCCTTCAAAGTGTCAAGGACACAGAAACAGGGCAAGACTGAAGAAATGTCACAGATCAGAGGGGACTAGAGACACGGCAGCTAGATGGAGCATGGGATTCCCGGATGGGGTCCCGGATGAGAATAAAGACAAGAGTGGAAAACCTGGTGAAATCCGAGGCAAGCCCATAGTTCAGTTAGTGATATGATATCAATGTTAATTCCTTAGCTTTGACAATGGTACCATGATACGTAAGAGATTCACAGTAAGAGAAGCTGGGTGAGGGTGTATAGAAACTCTGTACGATCTTCGCAACCCTTCTGTAAATCTAAAGGTGTTTTGCAATAAAAAGCTAAAATGATTTTAAAGAAGGAAACAGTGTTGAGTTTGGGTGCAGAATTGAAAAGGAATAGCCACCATTACTCGAAAATCCTTTTAAAATCCTCTTCCCTGTTGCAACCATGTGTCTGGGCGAGACCACTTCTTCATAAATATCTTTCAAAGCAGCGTATGGAAACAGACTGAAGGAGAAGCAGGCATGAGGAGAATCTGTCTCCTATTAAGCCAGACACTTAAAGAGACGTAAAAAGATGTAAGTCAATGCCACTCGTCTCTCTCAATTTCTTTCCTTCTGTAAAGTGTGATTAGTTTTAATGAAAAATGTCATTTACCTTAACACAGCATGAATTTATTATTGTTCACTTCAAATGACTTAATAAATATTTTTAAATGCTTCAGTTTTCATTTATAATGCAGTAACTATGGATGTGACTCATAATGACACACAAACTCTTTGAGGTTCTCAAAAATTTTTAGCTATGTGAACAGCAAAAAAAGTGTGAAAACCACTACTACACACCAAACTCCATTTTGCCACCTCACAGGTAATAGCTCATTTACTCCTCACTCAGAGGGCACACTGTTAGCCCATTGTGCAGATGAGAAGGCTGAGGCCAGAGAGGTTAAGTCATGTGCCCAAGGTCACACAGTAGGTAAACAGCAAAGTTGGGATTAAAACTCATGAAGTCTGGGTGGAGAGGGTCCAAAGCCCAAGTTTTCACCACTACGGTACACCACCCCCTTGGGTCAATGGTCAGGACGTAACTTTGTGGAGCCACAGTAAACAAGGACAACAGCAGCTCCCTTCAGAGAGCACTTACTATAAGCTAGACACCATGATTATTTTCCACACACAGCCAGACATACCACTGCCTGTAATACCATTTAATAGAGAGGGACAACGGATCTCAAAAAGAACAAGCCACCAGCCTCGGGTCACCCAGCAATCAACATGGGACTCCTGAGGCCCCAGTCAACTGGGCCTGGCTGGGAAACACACCAGGAGGGGTCACAGACACTTACCTGGGTAAGACAGGTGAACTTGCTCAGGGGCAGCGCTGGGAGCCACTGGGGCCCCCTGGACTCCCAGGGAGAAAAGGAGGAGCAGACAGCAGCAGGACCAGCAGAGGGGAAGGGGGTGCATGGTAGGGGGGGTCGGGGGGGCAGAGAGGGAGTGGGGGGAGGAGTCTAAAGTAGATCAAATTCTGTCAGGAACAGCAGGAGGGGGCTGGGAGGCTGGAGAATGGAGGGGGACCAGGCAGTGTCTCTAGCAGGGAGGCAGGATGGCAGGGATGTCTTCAAGGGTATGGTTATCCAGGTGCTGGGGAGAAAACAAAAATGACAATCAGTACCAAGCAGCAAGTGCTCTCTGAGCCGCACTGTGTTCTAAGCACTCTGTATGGCTTAACTCACGCGAGCCTCACAACATTCCTATGTGCGGTGGCTACTAGGATCATCACCCCTATATCATAGTCGAGGAAAATGAGCAGCTGAGGGGGTGATTCATTGGCACACCTCCGGTGATTCAGTTGCACAGCTAGGATGTGATGGAGTGGGGACTGGAAGCCAGGGGTCCTGGCTCCAGAGCCCTGGCTCTTAAGGGAAGCTCATTCTTGGTGAAATCGCTTGGGGAGTGCAAATGAGGGGCCCAGTGAGGCAAGTGGCCTGTGGTAACCCCACCCCAGCATTCCACCTTGCTTTCAGTAACCCCAGATTCTGCTACCTTCGTCCCTAAACCCACAGCATCCCGCCTGCCTTCGGAGTCCTCATTACTCTCTACTCCGGCCTCCAGTCTTCCACTCTGGTCTTAGTGAACCCAATACCCCCACTCCACCCCCAGATTTTTCCAGAATTCCATCCTGCCTGGAGCGGCCATATCCCTTCCGGCCCCTCCCCAGCATCCCATCCTAACGTGACCCTAACCCCCTGTCTCCCCAGCCCTCCCTGGCCCTCTCCACGTCCTTCTCCAGATCGCCGAGGACCTGCCGGGACGGAGCTGGGCCTGCACTCTCAGCCCAGAGGCCGGGAGCTGGGGCAGGGAGCGCGCTCTCGGTCCTCGGCCCACCCTCGGGGCACCAGCTGCCCGCACGCGCGTCTCCGGCCGCCAGTGCGGCGGCAGTATTTATGAGTTTGCAGGCGCCGCGGCATCCCGCCTCCCACAGCCGTCCCAGCCCGGAAGGGCCTGCCTTCGCCAGATGACGGGCTCCCCAGGCAACCGGGGCCCCAGGTCTCACAGGTCAGGCCGGTCCTGAGCGCCCCACGCCCACCCGCCCATTCCCCGGGGCAGGGCGTTGGGAAGGGGGACCCGGGAAGATTTCGTACGCGGCGCCGCCACATCCAAGCTGGCCGTCAGGTGAGCGCCCGGACAGGTAAGGCTGCGCTCGTCCCCCAGAGGCCCATTCCGCAGCCGCAGAGCTCCCAGGGCACGGGCCCCGGCGCCCACCCCTGCCCTGCGGGATCCCGCGGCGCCCAGCTGTGTGGGCGGCGTCTGTGCCCCCAGGGATTCTCCCATCCCTTCCTGCCGCGGCTTCATCTTCCGAGCGTTCCTTCCGCCTAACTCCCTCTCCGAGCTCGGCCCACTGATTCTAACCCAGACCCACGGGCGTGCTGGAAACACCAACCAAAATCCGCGAATGACAGCGCTGCTTCTGAGCTGTGCGCCCTGGGCTCGTGCCTGGGCCTCGCTGGGCCTCAGTGTCTTCACCAGTGAAGCGAAGGTGGTAATAGTACTGCCCTTCGGGCTGTTGGGAGGATTAAACCAGTTGAGGCATGAAATTTCATGCTGAGAACACGGCCTGGCTCAGAGTAAGGGCTGTTATTTTTATTAGTAGTAATGCATCCACTCCAGAAAATGCCCTGGGGTCTAGGTGGAGCAAGTGAGAATTTTCCCTGTAAAGCTTTATGAATCGTTTGAAGTTTTGTGACTGGCTTGCCACAAAACGTGTTCGGGGGCGGCAGGCTGGGGGTGGAGGTTCCCAGAGCAGCAGGAAAATCTGAGGGTCCAGATTTTCAGTTGTCACCCCTTCCAGTCTGCAGATAAAATGATCCAACAACTGGGTTCTGCAAATTCAAAGTACAGCGCTTCCTGCCGGTTGGGACCACCAATTTCAGAACTGACATCGGTGGGGGTGGGGAGCGGGGTGCCCTGCTTAGGTTTTTCCCCATCTTCCAGAGTCTCCGTTTTAGCTCAAAATGTAATTAAAAAAAAAAAACAAAAACAACCCTTATATTCAAATACCCTCGAGACTCCCCCCTAGCTGTAACTTTCCCTTGATTTGAGTTTTTTCTGGTAACCTCCCAGAAGCTGAAGTTCTTAACTTTTTTGTGCTCAAGACGCCTACGGCAAGCTGGTGAAGCCATTCTCAGGATCATGTTTTTACATGCCTCAAAGACACAGGATTACAAAGGAAACCGATGTTATTGAATTACTACAGATAATACAAATATTTGTAAAACACCTGTGTGAGAGAGTAATATATGTGCTTCTGTAATGCATTACAAGATCTAGTGGCAAGTCCAAAAATCCTGGCAATTTAGAAGTTTTAATGAGTGTATAGAAGATGTCTGAGAGCCCTGTGATGTGTGCAGTGAGATTCGAAAGCATCTTTGGTTTCTTCTCAGGACAAAGCCAGAAGTCTGCTGGCTGTGGTCTGTCAGCCCACGACAGAAGGACGAAGTAAATTTCAATTACAGTAGCAGTCTTAGACTTTACCTTCTTAAAAATTACTAAGAATCTCAAAGAGCTTTTGTACATGTGGACTATATTTATTGACATGGGTCATGTGAGAAAATAAAAATGAGAAATTTTTAAAACACAAGAGTGTCCATGCATACATTCCATTAGCCGTCACAGCAGTGACAGCCTCACAGGTCAGGTTGCCTTTGGATAGTGAAAAGGACAAACACATCTTAGTATTGTTCTGAAAATAGTTTTGACCTCATTAACCCCCTGAGAAAGGCCTTGGGGATGCACAGGGATTCCCAAACCACATCTGGAAAAGTGCTGAGTTAAAGGGTAGTAAAAAGCGAAGAGTTAATTGTTTTTCCCATCAAAGTTCATGTAGCTTCTTAATCCTATCCACCAATTCAGTCAAAAAGCCCCAATGGAATTGTACCTGTGGGTCCCTGATGTGGTCCCTCATAGCTCACTGATGGCCCCTCCCCTACTTTGAGGACAGCTGGAGAACTATTTCTAGTTTCTCTTTTTAGATACCTTTGTGTTTTGTGAAATATACTTCCACTGCCCTATTTCTTATTCTACTCCTGAGAGAGAAGTGTCTTGTGGTGGGGAACACAAGATCTAATGTGGGGTCAGATGGCTTGTGTTTGGATCTAGCTCAAGCACTGACTAGCTTAGGCATATAATTGAACCTCATCATGCCTCAGTTTCCCCATTTGTTAGATGGGGATAAAAATAACTGGCTCATGGAGGTAGGGATTAAATAATACATATAAACCATTTAGAACAGTGTCTAGCTCAGAGCAAGTACCACGCATCCCTTCCAATTTTTATTACACCCAAGACATCTAGTCTGCTCAGTTTGTAAGATAAGACTCTGATGAACTCACTCTTCTAAATCATTTAAAAATTATTGTAAACTTTTCTGTTGTGAAATATGAAATACATTCAGAAAAGTACCTAAAACATAAATGTTCTACTTAATTAATTATGACAAAGGGGTACCTACTTGTGTAATCTCCCCCCAGGGAAGAAACGAATTTTAGAAGTTTTCCACAAGCCCCTTCCTGCCTCCTTGCAAGCAATGCTTTCTACCTCACTGTGAAGGTATTCACATTACTGACTTTTACCTCATTTAGGTTTTACCACCCAGGCTTGTCTCCCTATATGCAGTAGCTTCATTTTGCTTGTTTTCCATATGGTCTAAATAGAATTATATAGTATGAACTCTTATGTCTGGTTTCTTTCACTTAACATGATTGTGAAATTTATCCAGGTTGGGTGTATTTTCCTTCTCATTGCTGAGTAGTATTCCATTGTGTGAATATACCACAATATATTTATATACTGTCAATGGAAATTTGACTTGTTTCGATTTTTTGCTCTTGCAAATAGTATTGTTCTTAACATTCTAATATATTTTGTTCTAGAACATTCACAACATAGTGTGAACATATATACACATTTCTTTTTGGTATGAACCCAAGAGTAGAATGGTTGGATCATAGTGTATAACTAAGTTTATCTTTAGTAGATACTACTGAAGAGTTTTCCAAAGTGGTGGTGATAATTTCTTCTCCTACCTCCAGCCACAGAAACATTTCCATCGCTCCACATCCTTGTCACCACTTGGCTTTGTCAGGAACTTTATTTTTAGCCATTGTGATGGTTATGTAGTGGTAGCTCATTGCAATTTTAATATGCATTTCCTTGACGAGTAATAAAATTGAACATCTTTTCATGTTTATTGGCCTTTTAGATATCCTTTTTTACGATGCGTTTTTCAAGTGTTTTGCCCAATTTTCTATTGGGTTGTCCATTTTTTAAATGGATTCATTCTTTACATATTCTGGACACAAGCCATTTGTTAGTTTTACAAACTATGAACATCTATTCTATGGTTTACCTTTTCACTCTTGTAATGGCATTTTTTAATGAACAGAAGGTCTTAACTTCAGCGCAATCCAGTTTCTCATTTTTCCTATGGATAGTTATTTTTACATCATATTTAAGAAATATTTCCATACCTCCAAAATGTGTTAATCTTCTCTTAAGTAATTTTCCAAAAGCTTTATTATTTTGCACTACATTTAGATTGGCAGTCTATGTGGAACTGATTTTTGTGTGTGGTGTGAGCTAAGGTTTTTAATTTTATTAAGATAATGCACATGGCTAATAAAATAAAGATTGAGTCTACTTTTTAAAGAAAACTCCTTTTTTAAAAAAAATTCCAGTATGAAAATAAATCATCTTATATCTGAAAAATATGAAATTAGAAAGAGCCAGAAAAGTTGAACAGCTCAGGGAACTGACAAACTTGGATTTGAATCCTGGCTCTGTTACTTCTTGGCCGGGTAGCCTTGGGCAAGTCCTGTTCTTCTCCTATTTCAGTGTCCTAATCTCTAAAATGGGTATAGCAATGCCTACTTTACCAGTGCTGGGAAAGATACAGCACGTAAAGCCTGTCATACAGGGTGAGGCACAAAGAAAGAACTCAATGAATAGTAGCAGCAATCATGAACAAAGGATATTATTTAATCACTCAGTGTCCATTTGCCCCTAAGCTGCCACTGGAAACAGTAGGTGCCCTTCCTTTGAACATTTTTTCTTAGATGCCACATCTGGGTTGAATCATGATCATACTATAGTCCAGTATTATTTTTAATGGACTTTTCCAAACATTCTTTTATATTGGTGCACAATACTCCATTCTGTGGCATACTTCACTCATTCTGAAGGGAAGAGAGATGCATTAAGGGTAAAAGCCAGGACTTTTCAGTTCAAACCCAACACCAACACTTAGTAGCTCTAAGTCCTTTGCCTCGCTGTACCTCAATTTCTTCATCTGTAAAATGGGGATAATATACCACACCGGATGCTTGACATGTTTTAGAGAGTTATTGTGAGAATTAGATGAGTGAGTGGATGTAATGAATAAAGAATAGTAATCAAAACAGTGCTTGGTGCAAACAGAGTCCTCAAAAATCTTAATAGAATTAGTTCAGGATTTTGAAATTTATCATAAAAAAGAAAGATGGATTGATGGATGGATAGAGGAATCAACAGATGTGTGATAAAGCCGGAATAGTAAAATGTGGATGGTAAAATCTAGGTGGTGAATAAAGTGCATTCTTGTAAAATTCTTGCAATCTTCCTGTGTGTTTGAAAATTTTCATGATAAAATGTTGGGAGAAATACTTGAGGAGATCCATGTAGCTGTGCTGCCGCTGGTCATGGTGAAAACAGAGTAGCAACTGATTCCCAAGAATCCGATGTGTGCCAGGCTCCCCATAGATGGAATAGTCCATTTAATTGCCCTGAACATCTGTAATGCGGACTGCAGCAGGCCCACTTTACAGATCTGGAAACTGAGGTTTGGCGAGGCTTAGCACCTCACTGTGTGGCCGCCAGGTCAGTGATGTGGGGTAGGGGCAGAGGAGTGTGGGATCCAGATGAGGTGAGTGGTGAAGGGACAGCTCCCTTCCAAGGGGGTGTCCTACACTTCAGGGACAGTGACCTGGGCTGACAGGTCTTGGGGGTCCCACATGGGGAAAGAGCTTCATTATCACAGCTGCCTTGAATGGAGTGCTCCCATGTGCTGGGCATCATTCTGAGTGCTTTGCATGAATGATCTCATTGATGCTTCACCCTGGTCATTAACCCCATTTAATAGATGGGGAAACTGAGGCTAAGAGAGATTGAGCAACTTACCTAAGATCACACAGCTGGTACAGCTATTATGTAGTCAAGCTGGGACTAAAACCCTGGTGTGTCTGATTCGAAAACTTGGGATGTGAACACTTTTTGGAGAGATATTTCCCATTTAGGATATTATCTATCAAGAAATACTGTCGGTTCCACACTCACATTT